AATAAAATAAAATAAAGTAATATTGAGGCTGGAAGACATACCAGAAAATCTGAAAGGATGAGTCACAGTCAACATTTATAAATTAAAGATACAGCTTTAGTATTAAAGTTTATTTTATTCTGGAACCAGTAACAATACTTTTTTCAATACTTTGTACACATTGGGGAATATAAAATATAAATGCTTTGTTTTAATTAGACAAAAGACCTTCTCAATTCCTTCAATATTAAATATCGGAACTTATAAATAAAACAATGTGCAAACATATAATTATTAAGGAAACGTCTAATCAAAGGATGACTAAACACTACTTAGAAATGTATTCAATGCCAGCTTTTGGTTTTGTATTAATCTCAGCTATACTAAAAACTCTTACGGACCGTCCACACAGCAGCGTTAAAAAATCTTGAAACGCTTCTGCCCATTCACTTTGAATGGGGTGACGTCACTTTGCCTCACTTTTCGCCGAACTGCATTGTGGGCAGGCGAGCGGAGATTTTCAGGATTTTCAGGATTCAAAGTTGAGCAATGTTCAACTTTTGAAGCTGAGGTGGAAGCGTCAGCCAATCAAATCCCGTGTATGCAAATCTGACAGTTCAAGCGCTAGCCAATCAAACCGCGTGTATGCTGGGAGAGACATACCGCCGGTCATTTCCTCATATTCCAAAAATTGGAGGAGAAATTAGCGGTAGGGAATCACCCGGTGCTTTATGACCAGTCCCTATTTACCTACCGGGATATAAACCGGAGGAGCCTGGCATGGAGGGAGGTGGCAGAGACAGTGGTATGTTTTCGCCTGTTTGGGGAGTTTATATCCAGTTTACTTCAAACTTTTTTGCTTCGTATGTCGGGGGCGGGACATTCATGTGATTGGTTGTTGGTGCCTTGCTCGCAAAAAATCCCCAAGCTTCAGATACGCCCACCTCCAAGATTTTTTTAACGCTGCTGTGTGGACGGGCCGTTAGTCAGTCTTGAAACGGTCTTTGTGACCAAAGCATGTGTGCGGGTTTTTTTATTTTTTTAAAAACATAACCTCTTGGTCAGGACCCAAAAAGTATTGGAGTTTAGCGTTATGTTGGTTTAGTAGGTTTGCTTTTCCAGGTATTACCATGTCAACATCAGTGCAAAATCTGTCAGTACAGTACATTGGGTCATTCAGTTAGGTCAATGCAAAAAAAAAAGGGAAAAGAAAGAAGAGAGAGGGATTGCAAATCAAAACAAAATATCCATAATGATCAAAAACAGAATGGCACTATTGTTTTATTGTGTTGAAGTCTCAAAAGTTTGTAAAATTAGACTAGATGGACCATTGATCAGTGTTGACTTTGATTTCTCCAGTATCAAAAGGTAAATGTTTATTTCAACTTATGAATTTTGTTTTTATCAAGAAAATTATTCAAACTGAATGTTTTGAAAATGTATGTGCAGCACATTGCATCTGGAAATGTACTGTTTACAGTACATAGTGGTCTAGTAAGTAAATATCATATTTAAATATACGTATATACATATGTATTACTTTCATTGTGAACCTGAAATAACTGTATAAGAACTAAATTCCACACATTTCAAATTCCAGGATGATCTTAATATTTTTCCCCATGGATTGCAAATGACCATGTGGAGTAACTGTGACCTTTGTGTTGCTGACCTTATGAACACAGAGCCAGGTGAATGTACCTCTGCTGTATTAGCAGGACGTCAAGGCTAAATGTAATGTACCGAACATAGTGTCAGTCCAGCTCTGAGAGTTCATTGACCTGGGAAAACTAAAGCCAGAGAAGAGGCAAACTGTGTTGCTATACTGGCACAATTACCTTCAAAATGATGCAATGGTTGTGCTATTATTTATTTAACTTGAAAACGATATTACAGGCAATTTTCTTTATACATTTTGAGTCAATGATAATTTAGAAAAAAGGCCTGGACATCTTTAAGTGTCATTACATCATGCTTTATCAGACCTGCACTGTTTTGCTTGCTTGAACTCCGAATACAGCAGTTGCTCCATTTATAGAATCAAGGACATTTTATTTTTACTGTCTTGGTGAAGATAAGAGTCTGTCCTCCGTGTCCGTCTCTGCCTGCTCCTAACCTCTATAAACGAGAGCCTTATCTCAAGCATTTACGACTGTAGGCCTACTTCATCAAGCCTGAGGGTTGTTCTGAGTGCATTACAGGTCACTGAAAACTAAAAGGATCACATTCTTGAAGATAACGCAGTTGGTTTTGTCATGCATTCAAAGCTGAGGTCCATTACGTTACAGACATGTCACGTACTACATGAATAATCACTGTATCGTAATGAGATCACTTCAGGAGAGTAATCGAGGCTATAACATTCTGGAGTATTCTCTGAAGGGATGAGTAAGGTACTGATGAAGTAAAACAAACATTCGGTGACTGGTGCTGCCAGTAGTGTCTGGCTTGTAATGTCTTTATTGCAGTTAGTCACTTTATGAACTGACCTTGAACCCTCTGCGCTGTGTTTCACATCCTTCTCTGAAACTTCCATAATGATGCCTCCAGGCTGCTGGGCTTGTGACCGTCCCCACAAAAGTATAGAGCATAATATGTTATATATTGGGTCACCTGTCACTCTACAATGGGGTGTTCCCTAAGTTGGTCCATGGTACTAAATGTCAAATTGAAAGAAGCTTGTCATTAAAAATTAGAGTCTGTTTATTTGTGAAAACAATAAAGTAATTAGCTTATCAGTCTCAAGCCTCCGTGCCAGGCACAAGGGAGATAACGTAATAGAGTAAACTCATTTAAATGACAGGTGGAACATTTTACCGCCGGTTACAAATGTCATAAACTGGAATCCCCGAAAAAATTGCCAACTTTAATTGAGTCAGGATAAAAACAACATCTATCTGATATTATAGGATCCTGCCAAATGATAAAGCCCTTAAAATAAGCAATTTTGTCCACCACTGACTGACTGAAATATCTCAGCGTTGTCCTGAAACTCATCTCAGTATTGATCGTTCTGACTTTGGGGATCCCCTGACACTTCCTGTGTTTTTTATGAAATGTCTTAAACACTATTATAGATAGATTGCCATTACATTTTGGACATACACCCATGTCCCCCTCAGACTGAATTGCAAAAATCGTAATCTTTTTTTAGATTCTAGAGTCGTTATCATGTCCAATCTTCAATTTGACTTTCCCTTCAGCCTCAATTGTGCTTTGTACTGATGATAACTAGTAAATGTTAGCATGCAAACATGCTTAACTTAAAAAAGTGAATATGGTAAACATTACACTTGCTTAGCATCCGTAGATTACGATTACAATTGTAAACATGTTTGAATGATGGAGTTAGTATTTAAAGGGGACCTATCATGCAAAATGCACTTTTGTACATCTTTTATACATGAATATGTGTCCCCGGTGTTCCAGGGAACTCACCAAGTGTCAGAAAACACAACCCTCTCTATTTTCCTCCATACCCAAATCTCTAAAAAAGGGGCTGCAACGGATCTGATGAAAACTGATCCAGATTTGAACACTGTCCTGACGTCAGGACGGTGGCGCTACGGCTATTGGGCCAACTCCACCAATCAGGAGGAGACAGCCACGGCCATTGCCGTTCGAAAGCGCTGGAGACGCTGTAGTACATATGCCAGGCCTGTAGGTGGTGCTGTAGTCTGCCACAAAAGCAGTGAAGAAGACTTGGTTACCATGGTTACCCTTCTGTTTATTCTCCGCTGTGGCTTTCTTTCTCCCTCCCCGAGGCAAGCGTTTGCTCCCGCTGCAATGCAATCCCTCCCCGTCGAGGCAAGCACTGTAATTCTCTCCGGTTAGTCCACCAGCAGATGACAAACACCCACCTCTCCGCCTCTTCCAAGGAACGAGGGGACCGTGCGGCAGAGTTTCAGTTTCAGTTTCTTTTGCCGGTCAAGATGTCCGTTAAAGTTTAAATCTTCCGGACAAAATTAGAAAAGTGCCGGTCAAAGGTCTTCTTTGTTATTTATTGAGCTTTAAAACAAATGAATAACGACTCTATATAATAAAACACGGAGATCTCTTTTTCTCCCCCTCTTCTGACAGCCCAGCAGCTGATCAGAGCACGTCTCCCCTCTCCTGCAGGGGGGCGTGGTCAGCAAAATCAGACCCGTAGACAGCAAACAGCACACAGAGCGAAATGAGGCATGGCTAAAATGCATGATCTGTTTGGTATTTTGAAAACAGAAACGTATAAATATACCTTATATAGGTATGGCCCTACAATATATCATTTAAATATAGCATGATAGGTTTCCTTTAATTTAAAGCATCACTGTGTACAGCCTCAATTAGCAGTTAGCATGCAGAACTTGTTTAACTTCATTATCCGACCTTTTCTGAGTAAATAACCTTTTAGATATCATAAATGGAGAATTAGCTGAATAGATGTCAGATTTTCTTGGTCTCTGGGTTTTAGCAAAAATACAATTAGCATTTCTAAAATCCTGGCTTTGGATCTCTAGAGCTGTTTGGTATAAGTCATGTTGGTTCATTTTAATTGGGTTAGTTTATATCAAAGGTAAAAGGGCAGTTTTAGAATGCCAATAAAGCTTTTTGAAAATTACAAGATACATTTATTTGAAAAAAAGAACTCGCTATACCTCATGAGGACATAACTTGTAGGTCAATGCCCCCGCTCTGCTTGGCCTCCTTCCAGCTCCCAGGTGTGAGCTGGCAGGGTGCAGGGACACGGCGTGGCGCTGATTACCCCTGCAGTCCTTGGTAGCTTGGTACTGCCTGGGTTAATGACACCGGCTACAAGATAAGGCCCTACCCTGCTGTTGATATCCAGGCATTACTCTAGCAACTCCTTTTCATTGAGAAAAGCTTATCGGTTTCCCAGGGTTATGCCATCAGTCATCTGGCAGAGCACATGGTTGTTTTTCAGAGTCTATTGACAAGTCAAGGTCCGCCTAGTAGGCTGGGTCGGTCCTATAAATACGAGGGACACTGGAAGATGCAGCAGCAGTACTCACAAGCTCTTGGAGAGCCCATCATTTGAGAGGTCTCTTACAATTTAACTACACAGATCTCAATCAATCAATGACAAAATGGATAACAGGTGTCATTGTGCATCCAGCAGCGACAGGTTTTCGAACCCTATCCTGTACAACATCCTGAGCCAAATGGATAACAGCAAGCCAAACCAAAACTGCTTAAACTACAATTCAATACCTCACCGATGCAACTGTGAGCTGCGAAGGACAGTGTGCTTGAAAAGACCCTCCGAGGTCTGCAAAGAAGCGTCAGCAGTTCTGGTTAAGACTGTCCATTTCATGAAGAACTTACCTGCTTTTAACCAGATGCCACCAAATGACCAGTTCATACTTCTCAAAAGCTGCTGGGCACCGCTCTTCATCCTGGGTCTGGCCCAGGAGCAAGTGAACTTTGAGGTGACGGACACACCTGCTGACAGCATGCTGAAAAGGATTCTCCTTAACCGACAGGAGAGCCCCGATATGGAGAGGAAACAGCCCACTGTGTCTGGGGTCAGCAAACTTAGGTCCTGTCTTAAAAAGTTTTGGAGTTTGGATTTGAGTCCAAAGGAGTATGCATACCTCAAAGGGACCACAATATTCAATCCAGGTATGAATTCATCTGTATTTATTAAATTAAATACAAATACTTAGTTCCCAGGAGTAAGAAAACTGCTTTATACATGTCTGTGACAGTGTCTAATTTTCGGTCTTTACTTTCAACAGATGTTCCATATTTAAAGGCAGCTGTGTTTGTGGAAGGCTTGCAGCAGGAGGCTCAGCACGCCCTCAGTGCGATGGTCCAGCTCCTTCACCCAGGGGACCAGGAGCGCTTTGCTCGGATCCTCCTCACAGCCTCCATGCTGCAGAGCATCACACCCAGCCTCATCACTGAACTCTTCTTCCGGCCCGTGATAGGCCAGGCTGATCTGCTGGAGCTGTTGGTGGACATGCTCTTCTGCAGATAGACCAGGACAGGTGGACTGAAGAAAGTTGAATCCAATGGTCTTAACAGTGTTGATGCAGGACTTCTCGCTGACCAACCCAAACAATGTTTCCTCATAAAATGACGGAATTTTTGACAGCGGACTACTAAAAAAAAGCAATTACAACACTACTGTCAATTGGTGAATATGAATTGCTTGTATTGCATTGAAGCTCAGGTCACTTTAGCCTAGTCGGAAAATCTGTTATCCACTGAAGTTGAAAGGCAGAATTTTTACAAAAAGAGAGACTGTACCCACTGTTCATATTCTGCATCTTATGTGGAAGATATTTTCTACTTGCCTTAATGTTGTAAATAAGTCTGCATATACAGAACATTTCTAATAAATATATTTTTGTAAATTAACATTACAGTGATGTTTTGTATAAGTCCTCACAGCAAGCCACACTATTTTTATGTACAAGACTTACAGATCAATACCGACATGTTGTGGAAGTGTGCTCAAGTCCCTTTATTTTAAGTTCTTGTCAAGACCTGAAAGCAAATGTGTCATAGTGAATTTCCTAGAAATTAAACAAAAAAGACGTTACCCCTAAAAATACTAATATGGGTGATTATGGGTTTCAAAAAACCATTTCACTAATTTGTGATGAATCTTAAATAAAGCATACCTACTTAGAAATGAACATATTGTAATACAGTACGTCTGGTTATCATTGGTGGAAAAAGTACTCGAGTACTTGAGTAAAAGTAGAAGTACCAGAGGGTAGGAATACTCTGTTACAGGTAAAAGTCCTTCATTCAAAATGTTACTCAAGTAAAAGTAGAAAAGTATTAGCATCAAATATAATTAAAGTACCAAAAGTAAAAGTACTCATTATGCAGTTCGGTCCATTTCAGAATAATATATATGATATGTTTTATAATTATTGATCATTAAAGTGTTATAAAAGCTGGTAAAGGTGCAGCTAGTTTTAATTATTTTATATACTGCAGGGTAGCTTGTGAATTTACTCCAGGTGTAACTAAAGTCTTATTTAAAGTGGACCTATCATGCTATATTTGAATAATATATTGTAGGGCCATACCTATATAAGGTATATTTATACGTTTTCTTTTTCAAAATACCAAACAGATCATGCATTTTAGCCATGCCTCATTTCGCTCTATTTTGCTCTCCTCCACCCTGTCTTTGCATGAGCTGACCACGCCCCCCTGCAAAGGAGGGGGCCGAGTTACGAGCGTCGTGTTACCATGCTGTTACCATGCCACGGCAACCTCTCATTCCCCTGATAGGTCAGCTCCTCCATCCTGACATCAGAGAAATGTTCAAATCTGGATCAGTCTGTATCAGATCCGTTGCAGCCCCGTTTTTAGAGATTTGGGTATGGAGGAAAAGAGAGAGGGTTGTGTTTTCTGACACTTGGTGAGTTCCCTGGAACTTGGTGATCCTATCATGCAAAATGCACTTTTGTACGTCTTTTATACATGAATATGTGTCCCCGGTGTTCCAGGGAACTCACCAAGTGTCAGAAAACACAACCCTCTCTATTTTCCTCCATACCCAAATCTCTAAAAAAGGGGCTGCAACGGATCTGATACAGACTGATCCAGATTTGAACACTTCAATGACGTCACAGAAGTGGCGCTACGGCTATTGGGCCAACTCTCCACCTATCAGGGGAATGTGGGGTTGGGCCACGGCCGGCCATTGCCGCTCGAAAGCGCTGGAGACGCTGTAGTACATATGCCAGGCCTGTAAGTGGCGCTGTAGTCTGCCACAAAAGCAGCGAAGAAGACTTCCCGCCCATAGTTACCATGGTTACCCTTCTGTTTATTCTCCGCTGTGGCTTTTTTTCTCCCTCCTCGGGGAGGGAGAAAGCGTTTGCTCCCGCTGCTTTAATTCAATGCAATCCCTCCCCGTCGAGGCAAGCACTGTAATTCTCTCCGGTTAGTCCACCAGCAGATGACAAACACCCACCTCTCCGCCTCTTCCAAGGAACGAGGGGACCGTGCGGCAGAGTTTCAGTTTCAGTTTCTTTCGCCGGTCAAGATGTCCGTTAAAGTTTAAATCTTCCGGACAAAATTAGAAAAGTGCCGGTCAAAGGTCTTCTTTGTTATTTATTGAGCTTTAAAACAAATGAATAACGACTCTATAGGCCTATAACAATATAATAAAACACGGAGGACAGAGATCTTTTTTTCTCCCCCTCTTGACTTGATCAGAGCATGGCTACCCTCTCCTGCAGGGGGGCGTGGTCAGCTGCAGCTCATAGAATCAGCCCAGTAGACAGCAAACAGCACAGAGCGAAATGAGGCATGGCTAAAATGCATGATCTGTTTGGTATTTTGAAAACAGAAACGTATAAATATACCTTATAGGTATGGCCCTACAATATATCATTTAAATATAGAATGATAGGTCCACTTTAAGTGTTGATTATATTTCACATCATTAATCCAAATCTGTAAAGTAAGTTAAGGTCTTAAATAATTGTAGTGGAATACCAGTACAAAGTAGCAAAACATTGAAATACTCAAGTAAAGTACAAGTATCTCAAAATTGTACTTAAGAACATTGCTTGAGTAAATATACTTAGTTACTTTACACCACTGTTGGTTATTTTCTTAATCTAAATTTTAGGCATCTTTAAAATAGTAAGGTGACACTGAGAACGTAGCTCATACTTTGTTGGTATTGCTTAAACTCAAATTAAGAAACCACATCTGATTCATGCATGATGTGTTCTCCTTCTCGTTTTACCAGATTGTCCTGAAACCAAACTGTGAGTTCAACATATCAGTGGTGAGTATCTTTCTCTCGAGGGGAGACTTTAAAAACACGTGATTACAACTTTTCACAGAGCTCAATTGACTTATATATAATATATATGTACATATTATATATATTCAGGAAAGTAAGCCCCCTTTGTATGTTAGGTACTTTGTCTCCCTCTCATGGTAAAAAGTGGACTTCTCATGTTACTATAAAGGCTATGATCACAAAGACACAGTAAACAAGTGAACCTGCCATTGTTGTTTACAAAAAATAAAAGCTCCACACAAAACAAGAATCAGATTTTAAAAGTAAGTAAAGGAAAATCTGAATGCTGAATAAAGTATCCTTAAATAAAATCTGAGTTTGTTAATCTGCAGGTTAGATTTGATTGGAACAAGCCCTCTTGATTAGTCTTAACCTGTGGTATGCTAGTTGTGAAACAGTGAGCTTTTACTTGACACCTCATACAGGTAAAACAGGAATGTGCTGGCGGGGGCAGAGAGCTAGAGGAAATTGGGTTACACAGGGCTATTGCAACACAACACAAACTATAAAAACTCAGCATTTGGCTCAGGAGAATTCAGAGGAACTGCTCGTTTGTAGTTCAATGCACTTCGTTAAGTATTTGTAATAATCTAAAGGAAAACTCTTTTCACCAATATCGTGATAAACCAGAATTTAGAATTGTTCTCTTGATGCTACTGCAGCTATCTTCTGTGCAGTTGCAATATGTTCCATAGTCCTACAATTCAGAAGTCTTCCTATGTTGTATTGCTTTGTGGCTAATGATATTAGCTTTTACACATTTTAATTGACAGTTGCATCAACAGACATTATGGTTCATGAAGTTTCATTATTTTTAACCAAAGGATTAGGACCAGTTCTAGATGTGTGCAGTGCTTCTTCCCTTTGCAACAAATTACAAAGACAATCCTCTAGATTTTATTTCCTTTTTGTCAGAACCAGCCAAACGAGTTATTTATTTTGCTGAGGGCGGAAAAGGCTGCCTGCTGCAACACTGTGACCTCGGGGAGACGAGCTTGACAACAATAATTCCAAGACATAAAGAGGAGAAGTAGGCTAAAGCATTAGAAAATCCTGGGAATAAAGTACTTGATATATGAGAGAAAATGGTGCAAAATGGCACAATTATGTGGTGAAAGAACATTAAAAAAAGCTCTGCAAACGTCAAGCAGTATGTCCCATTTTCCATAAGCCAAAATATGAAATAGATGAGTTAAACACAATTATTGTATACATAAAGGCATTTCATTATTGAATGCACTCGAAATGGAATAAACAAGCATGGAGATTTTTATTTTGTTAAAAACAGTGAATAAAAAAAAACTGCGGCGAAATGCCACAAATGGTTAAAAAACCCAGAGAGTAACATTGATAAAAAAAATATGTACATCAAAGTATGGCTTAACAATGCAGTTTTCAGGACAAAACATGCTTTCAAGGAGACTTAAATGGCAGGAGTGGATAAGCCCCAAACATATATACGGTTCACGCACAATGGCTTGCATACACAATCACAGACAAGAATGAGGACGGTTACATTCTACCATCGGTCTCTATCCTCTGGCCTGAAGGAGTGTTGTCATGTTTCATTTTCTCAAAACAACTTTAAACACTGCATACATTAACAAAAAAAACCCTGCATTGTCTTTTGCTTTGTACAAAAATAATTGTTTCCTCAGTGGGTCACTTGCTGGAGAGATAAAAGGTGCATGAAATTAAATGACACTCCAATAGCAAACATTAACCACTAAAAGCAGAAGTACCACCGCCCAGGGTAAAAGGTGCTTCACTTAGTAACAGCAGCAAAACAATATAGCAAAAGGATAACATTGTCCATTTAGTCGGCTACATTGCTTGTTAGGAAAGGTACTTTTTTTGTCTGTGTGCCCCTTCAGAGAATAAGAGGAGCGCCTGAAGAGTCTATTTCGGTGTCACGATGGTAGGCCGAGTAGGCGGTAGCGGTGCTGGAGGAGTACGCTGTGAAAGAAAGACTTTAGTTTAGTTCAATGAAAATCAAAGAATAGCAGTCGTAGAAATATAAACAACACTGTAGATATCATGCACAACTGCGACACACAAGAGTTTAACCCGGGACGACAACACATTCCCAGGCCATGATGTGAAAGTTTAGGAAACACAATTCAAAGACGTGTAATGGGACACCCCTGGTTTTTAACCGCCTCTCCACTGAACAACAAAAAAGAGGAAAGGCTGCTGCACAGTAATCCATCCGTACCTAAAGTTGTGGGCCAAAATGACGTAGTAAACCATGGGACATTATGAGGCGTATATTTAATGTGACTCGATCTGCTGCTGCTGTGGCAGGTGGTGTAGCATGACCGCTGAGCTGCAGGGGAGAATGAGGCAGGTTGATAGGTAGGTGTAAGGTGGCGGATGAAGTGGGGGGGGGGGGCAGCTAATGAGCGAGGGATTGTAATATGCAGAGAAAAGGACAGGAATGTGGGAGTTTCACTGCTTAAAGAATGGCATGTTACAGGAAAGTAGAGAGAAGGTGAGAGAATGCCTGCAGCTGCAGCTGCAGCCGGTACAATGGAATCCAAAGA